TGAGGTTGGGTCTTCTGTTTCTTCACAAGGACGAATTGGTATTTCAAAAAAGGGAGTACAGAAACTTCTATGAGACTTTTATTCAATAACTCCAGCCAGAGAATAGATTGTTGCATTGAGCAGGACCGCTTCTTCTTATGTGCCTGTCTGATTCAGTGCCTCTCTTTTATGGCATGCTCTTAGAGCATGGTGAGGATTTTTTGGAGTTTAAATATGGGAAATTTCGAAGTTTAAAGAAATTTGGCCTCTTAGGCATAATTAGGTATGTTCTTTGGTTGACAATGTATTAAAAATTGGATGTTTAGATTAACGAATTATTGCCAATAAATTTCAATTTCAGTTTCTCACAAAACCCTTACTTCCATTCTTGACTTATCGCAAAGTATGAAAATGCGTATGCTACAATTGTAGCAGTGTATTGACTATTTTCATTAATAATATGTTGTTTTAAAAAAATTGCATTTTAATTCTGGACCCCACAATTCAAAAATTCTGGATCCGCCCTTGAGCATGAAGTAAGGTGTCACGCATTTCATTCCAGATCACACTTTTACTAGATATAAACTAAATTGTGTGAGCTTTTCAGCACAAGCAGATAAACAAGTAATAAACAGTGTTAGCCTCTCTTTTTTCAAGAATAAAATAGTGTTGCTAGGTGAACTTTACAGTCACTTGCCTCGTTGGAATTCACCTCCATACCAACAGCAAAACAAACTCCACTGAATAATCAAATTAAGCTTTCAGATCAAGCATTACATTTTTTCAAAATTTTAACAAGTTCCTAAGAGACAACCTGAAGCATTCTTTATCACCAAGGGATTTCTAGCTAACACAAGAGAAGCATTTGATTTCTGTATTGAATGCAGTTCCACAGAGTTTGACTAAAATCAAGCATCTAACTCAGCATTCAATGTATAACTGATTCCATATTGCAGGCATAACAAGAAAAAGCATGTCATATCATTCTTGAAGCTGATGCAACACACTTTAACAGCTGATATAAAAATTTTGATGCAGATAATTACTGCAAAATGGAAGGTATGTACCTGACCGTCTGAACCAGCAGAGAACACTCTATTATGGCTAGGAGATGCTGCAAGGGCATTCACATCACCCTTGTGACAAGAATGTGCCTGCAACAGAGTTCCAAACTGACTATCCCAAAACAGCACACTGCCAGAACTATCGGCGCTGACAATGGTGCCACATCTGAATCCAACAAGATGCGACATAAAAAAAGCATGGAAAAGCAGAAAAACTTCAGATGACTTCAATACAATACTAAGGTAACACAAGCACAATATCGATATAAAGGTGTTACCAAGTGGGTGAAATGAACAGAACTTTTACCTAAGTGCAAGTAATGACAATACGCAGAGCTCAGCTCCACTCCCCAGACCTCCAAGCCCAACAGTTATTCTATAAATCTCATGAGCCAGTTTAGCATCCCAGCATCTTATGAACCTGGAAAACCAAAATATATCTCAAAAACTTTATAATAATTATATCCAAACCAACATAAGCTTTCGTCCAAAGAAATCATTGTTTTATTATCACAGCCAACAGAATTTAGATATCAGATACACTTAAGTTTCATGCATATGCTTCATCTAAGTAAGACATACCCGTCACTGCTCCCAGAATATATCCTACGTGTGTCAGGACTCCAGGTTACGCTTAATGCTCGTCCTGTGAGTTAAAGCGAAATGATCAAACCAATTCTATACAACTAAACAAAAATAGGAAAAAAATATCTAAACAAGTTGAGGAAGCTGTCTCACCACTAACCCTTGGCAACGTTATATTATAAGTAAGTTCTTCCAAGTCCGTTATGTTGTATATTCGTACACAGCCATCATCACAAGCAATTGCTAGTCGTGTATATTCAGTGCCATGGCCTTCATGAATCTCAACCTGATCATTATCGTAACTGTCATACTCACTATCACTATTCTCATCGCCCCCGCCACCATTAAGTCTAGGACTAGCATGCCCATTTTCATAAACCCTCATTTCCTTCTTTACACTGAACTGTGAATTATTACATGGTTCTGCAGCCATCTGCCATATCGAGACACCAATAGAATCTAGTACTGTCTGCAGATGAACATATCAAAGAAGCAAAAATTCATGAAAATAATGTACTCCAATACAAAAATTCTTTAAAATCATTGTTTTTATATATAACACTTTCAGCAGCTGAAAGTATTGACATAAATTCAGCAAAAATGTGAACAGTTGCTCGCTGTCATGTATCTATAACAAATCCTACTAGAGTAAACATCAAACTTCAACAAATTAGAGAAAAGTGCATTAATATCTTCTTGGCAGATGAATGCCAGAATTATACAGCATTTAACTTTGACCACAGTTTTTGGCTTTTTTCTGAGAAAGGAGTGCTATTGTTTTCATTATAAAATAAAAAATATAGAAGCATGAAGCTGGGGTTCACAAATAATCTAAAAACCAGCACTTCTGACCACATTTTTCTCCACAAACTTTGTCTGCGAGTTAAGTTTAACTTCTTAATAACCATTTTATACGGCCAGGGCTTACTTCAAACCACTAAAAATTTGATGTAAATTCAATGCTTTATTGCACTCACTAAACATTCATTTTCATTAAAATTTCAGGATATTAAAATGTAATCTTAAGCTCTACTATACAATAAATTACATAGTAATGCAATTCAAACTAAGCATTTACACGTGCATATGAACCTTTTGTTTCAAATCGTATAGGTCCCACTCAGAAACCGATCCATCAATGCTGGAAGATATCAACCGGCCCAATGACGAGCCTCTCGGCCTCGATGGACACCACACCAGCGACGACATCCTTGAATTAGGGTCCCCATGTATTGTCTAAATATAGAAACCAAAAAATATTAACTCTCAGACTCTTTTCAAAAAACCAATAAAAAAATTCTGATTAGTAATTGCTAAACGATTTCGTATTTCGGCTTACGAGCTGACAGTTCCATCCTACGGAGCCCGGGGAGACGAGCCAAATCTCGAGTGAACCATCTCCGCGAGCGGCGGCGACCTGAGAGCCGTCCGCGCTGGTGGCTAAGGCCACAACGGGGGATGGATTCCACTCCATTGAGCTGCTTCGATAAACCTTTACCATCTGCGTTGTGAATATATTAATTGGGTACGAAGTGTGCCGAGAAGAAATGGGACGAAGTAGAGCATTTGGGAGAGGGCACAGCAAAGGGGGGCGATGAAGAAAGGGAATTTAGGTTTTTCAGGGTTTAAGCGGCTGCGGTTTGAACCGGGTTGGTACTAATATAGAACCGGACGTGTCGATTCATCAAATTTCCTTGCTTTTGGGAGCAGTTTGGGAATAGATATTGCAAAATAATCTGTTCAACCCGAAATTCGTGGACCCCATCCCAAATGGAGCAGGGATTATCTGTCTAATCGGGTAAACGAGGAGGGGACGGGACGATGGTCATTGCCCCGAAGCGGGAACGCGAATCATAAACGAGGAGGGGACGGGATGATGGTCATTGCCCCGAAGCGGGAACGCGAATCATAGTCCTCGTACCGTTTAAAATTATTTTTAAAAGTAAGGGTGCGTTTGATTGCGATGGTGGGAAGAAAATGATTTTCAGGGAAAGTAATTGTCTAAAGATTATTTTACAAAAAATTGTTAATTAAGTGTGTTTGATTGATATAATTTTCCATCCGGAAAAATTTTGAAATTTTGGATTTTTTTTTTGTTCACGTTTGGCTTTATTTTACATGAAAATTATCCATTAAAATGAATTTTTTTTTTTACAATTAGTTATGAAATTTGTTAACATTGCCAAAAAGA